GCTAATTTTTTGGTTTATTGTAGAGGCGAGGTCTCACCATGTTGCCCAGACTGGTCTCGAACCCATGATCTCAGGAAATCCTCTCGCCTCAGCCTCCCAAACTGCTGGGATTACAGGCATGAGCCACCACACCCAGCTTTCTCTGGATTATTAAAGTGCTATTTTTCTATTTTATAGTGACCAACATACAACCTGCTTATTCATCCCATTCCATTTTGGGTAACCTCATAGCAAAAATTTCAGAAACAATCATCCTACCTCAAGTCCTATATACATATATACTATATCTTACGAAACATTGTGTGCAGGTGTGGTTGGTCTACATGATGACAGCATCAAAAGAAAATGAACATGCACACTTGTATATTCCACTAGTACCTTAAATTCAAGGAAGTACTGGATTTATAATCCTTTCCTTTCTACCTACCCTCAAAACAAAACAAAACAAAAAAAACCTCTGCTTCTCTTCTGTTATCTACGTTATTAAGGGACACTACATCCAATCCTGATTCCTAGCAGTCATTCTAGTACTTTTCACTCAGCCCCCACATCCAATTCCTTCCTTAGTAACATCTTTCCTGTCTATCCTGCTATCTCTATTCATGCCTTAGTTTAAACCTTTCCACTTCCACTCTTCCCTTGCCTCCCACTATCACTACCATCTGAGTGGTCTTCCTAAAAGACAGATCTAGCCAGGCTCGGTGGCTCAGCCTGTAATCCCACGCTTTGGGAGGCTGAGGTGAGTGGATTGCCTGAGCCCGCGGGTTCAAGACCCACCTGGGCAGCGAGACCTCATCTCTACAATAAAAAAAAAAATCAGCCAGGCGTGGTAGCGCATGCCTGTAATTCCGGTTACTTGGAAGGCTGAGGCGGAAGGATCGCCACAGCCCAGCAGGTAGAGGCTGCGGTGGCCGGGAACAGCCACTGCACTCCAGTCTGGGCAACAGAGTGAGACTCCAACTGAAAAAAAAAAAAGGCAGATCTGATTTTGTCATTCCTCTGTTTAAAATATTTTAGTAAGGCCAGACGTGGTGGCTCAAACCTGTAATCCCAGCAGTTTGGGAAGACGAGCCAAGAGGATTGCCTGAGCCCAGGGGTTCAAGACCAGCCTGGGCAACTTGGCAAGTCTCTACAATAAATCAAAAAGTTAGCCAGGCGTCGTGGTGATTGCCTGTGGTTCTGGCTACTTGGAAGGCTGAGGCAGAAGGATCACCCAGCAGGTTGGGGCTGTGGTGGCCTGGGCGACAGAGTGAGACTCTGACTCAAAAAAAAAAAAAAAAATTTAGTAATCTCCAAATTTAGAATAAAGCCTAAATTTTAGCATAACATATAAAAATCCTTCAAATTCTAGATCCATCCTGTCACCTAATCTACCATCACACCATTATGTCACCCTATTATTCTCCCCAGCCAA